CAATATGTCTTTTGACCTCTTGAAATGTCTAATAGATGTTACTTATTAAATCTTTACTATCACCTTTATTACAGAAGCAGGAATATCTGGGTAGTACAAATGGTTAAGCACTCAACTACTACTACCAGGAAAGTATCTCAGAAGACAGGTCTAGTGATCTGAAAACCTACAGAAGTTCTGCTCTGTACACACTGAGTGGGGGTGCGGCCAGGAGTGAAAATTAACTCTGTGCCAACAAACAAGTGTTTGAGAACTAATATATTAGAGTACGCCTTCTACGCCATAATTACATGGCATTTTAGCCTGATTTTCTGATGTGTAAACTAAGGATATTAAAAGTACCCATTTCAACAGACTTGTGAAAATGTAGTCAATGAACATTTAGCAAACCTGGCACCTTACTAATAAATAAGTATGCAGCAACTGTTATACATGGAAAGTAATCTCTTAAATGCACAGGTGTACACAATAGTTTTCTATCACAAAAATCTATATTTCAGAAAAAGTAATTAAAATACATAAGACCTAATACCATCTCCCTTTCTCCATAAAGATATACATCAGCCCTATAATTTTTTAAAAGACATTAATTAGATTATCTCTTAATCTGGTATTATAAATTATATATAAAGATTATAAATCATAATAGCATTTTGAAGATGTTCAAATATTACTGTTAAGTAATTTGAAAATTTAGGTCGCTTTTCTTATATGGCATAAAATATCCTTACATTAACATGTATGAAATGACCAAGCATTGACTATATTAATAAAATTATTTCATATTAAAATAAATCACTAATAATAAAATAACAATTCATATACACTTACTGCAATCTCTCTACAAGCCGACATGGATATTCCTGTGCCTTCAATTTGCTTCAAAGCATATTCCTTTTCATCTTTTCTGCACATGAACAAAAAAATATGTATTATCTTTTCTGCACATTACTTTCAGGTTTAAAACTGTAACTACAAAAACAATGGAAGTGTAATAAGTCTTCTCCATATGTAAACACTCTTGCTATGCCATGCACTGCTTGTTATCTTTTAAAGTATTTCAAATACAGAAATATGAATACCAAAAGAAATTCATGTCATAATGAAAACATTAAACTGAGTCAAAACACAAATTTCAAAATGGAAAAACAGAACAGGATACTAAACACAGCACCAGTTTCAAAGAATAAACAAGCATAAATATAAACTCGAGCATACGGCAATATAATCCCACTCCTGTCTTAATATGTGGAGTCAATGAAAGCATCCTGTTATAAACATTCACTATAAAGATAACTGACAGATGTAAACTCCTAGGTTCATTTACAGTAATGCCGTAGTGCAGATGCATTTATAGGAAGGAGAAGCTATATAAGAATGCTGACCTATGGGCATACATAGACCTGGTTCTCATCTAGGAAGGAGGCATTCAAAAACCTCAAAATATCGGCCAACAGCCTTAAAAATACTCCAAATTCCACCCACCAAGATTTCATCTTCAGGAACTCTAGGAATTATGAGGCAATTCTCCAAATAAAGGATTTGGATTAGGAATCCGGGGGAACCACAATAGTTATGAGGATGCTTAACCAAAGGAAGGCCAAACTCGAAACCAAATTCACTGCCATTAAGTCAAGCTGACTCATAGTGACCCTGAAGGACAGGGTAGACCTGCCCTTGTGAGTTTCCAAGGCTATAATTCCTTACAGGAGTAGAAAGCCCCATCTTTCTCCTGAGGAGCAGCTGGTGGTTTCAAACTGTTGACCTTATAGTTAGCATACCGGCCCGTAACCACCACATCACCATGAAAACATTAAACTGAGTCAAAACACAAATTTCAAAATGGAAAAACAGAACAGGATACTAAACACAGCACCAGTT